AAAACTGCTCAGACAAGGAATCTGTGTAGCAAAATTAAGCACTTTGGTGTTTGTCAGGAGTTGTTAACTTGGCAGCAATATGTTCAATAAACCATTCTAGGTAACACTGCAGGCGTTATTTTGAATCATGTTGTTGCTGCCTTTGTAGACTGGACACTCACAAGCTACAGCTTAAACCTGTAACAGATCTTTTTGCAGCCGATTTGTTTGTTTTTTCTATTGGTAAATGCATGCTTTGTCTCAGTCTTGAACCCAAAAAAACAACCAGGCGTGGCATTATTTGAAGTTGATAATAGGTATGAGGATACTGTTTATGCTTTATTGAAGCAACACCTGTATTTTGTGGCGAGTGATCAGAGAACAGTGACAGTGCTCTGCTGCAGCTTGGGGGTTCAGAGTAGGTGGGGAGCGAGCCACGCCTTACCTTCACAGAGGATTCAATCTGCTCTCTCTAATCAGAGGCCCTTGCTTCTTGCATTTGGCATGGATCCTGTTGCTGTGCAGAGGCTCCACAGTGCTGCATCTTCTGAGCACATTCGCTGGCTTGGATCAGCTTGTTTTCCAGCCCCGAGCAATGATCAGAGTTTTGTGTGCAGTATTTACCCCTGGGTAGGCTTGGGTATCTTTGTTATTGTGAATGCACACAACTAGTACATTGAGCAGAAAATAAGCCTGAGACTGAAAATGCAACCTTTGTCATTGCTGCTTTGACCTGATTCAAGTGTAGCCGAGTAAACATGTATTTTGTTTTTAGCTTTACCATGTTCTGCCATTTTTTTTGCCGGTCAGTTTGTCATGTGGTAATAGATCTTTTTTTTTTTCCCATTGTTTCACTCTGTTTTCACCTTGACTTGCTGGTAAAGCAAGCTGTTTAGAGCCATGAGAAGCACATTTCAAGAGCTTCTTGAGCTAAATCCTTTGCTTTTTCTTCTGGTATTATATCACAAGGGCTCTTAGTAACTGTGTCTGGAACCGAATGTGCCTTGTCCTAATCTCTGCTTGCTGCCAGGAGCTCAACAGGATAACATGTTGCTGAAGAAAAGGAAAAGCAAGGGATACTTCTTAAGGAACCTTGAAGGAATTACTACCACGCATGCATTGAATGTGTAGCCTGTGTTGTTGTATTAGGGGTTTCATTGATGCTGATGTGCAGTATTGCAAATACCTTAGGTCCTGTGTTGTCAGCTGAGGTTGAGGTCATAGTCACATTGCTTGTTAGGTGTCTCTTCCTCTCACGGTGCAGTATGTCACAATATGATAAGTGGAACAGCTGCAATTTCCCACTCTGCACTGTAATATTTTTCTGTTGTAAAGTAAACTAAAAAGCTGAAACGACGAAAAAGAGAAGAGATCGATAAGAGAATAATACCACAAAACATTTTTAGTTCTAATTGCTCACAGAGTAAAAGCCATGCAGACTTGGATCTTTTTCTGTAATCAAAGCAGCAATAACACCGGTTAATGATTAATGCTCGTCAAGCTGAGTGCTTTGATCCACAGGTTTGCTTAAAATAAAATCTCATGTAACAGGCAGACAGTGGAGTCAGACCCCTTGTGGAGTCAAATTTCCACGTGGAACAAAGCAGGGTGAAGACGCTGGGAAAAGTATTATAAAAATATACTTTCAAAATCTTCTGCTTCCAATTCCAAACTTCAGTAGTAGTCAAGAATGTTACGAGATATGTAAAAAATTCAACTGGAAGTTGAGTGAGAAAATTCCTCCTTCATAAACTGTAAATGTGTTTTTTACAGGAAGCTTTTTGAGGAACTGTCTTTTTGCCCTGTTGTGGGTTGAGTTACTGTGCATGACAACTGTACTTAACTGCTCCTCTGTTACAGAGCTCCTTCTTTTCACTTGCAGGTTCATTCCTGTCTGTGTGCAGTTATAGGTGTCAGTAAGTACAGGGTGCTTCTCTGGCAGTTCATCACAGTTTGTCAGACAGCGTCCAGTATATTCCACCCCCCTCCACCACAAGGGCATGCATCATTTATACACAGCCCAGGAATGGCTCTCTGGTATCAGCAGTTGTGCTCCTAAAAAAGACTGAGGATCCGTGACAGCACAGGAGACATGAGGACTGTGCAGATAGATTACAGGCTATGCTAAGGATGAGATGACAGGCTTGTCTTAAAACCCTGCCACTTTTTCTAAAGGTTTTTTAAAAACTGACAATTAGTACTCACACCATCCCCCCCACACACCTACAGAGAGATCTAGTTACATCTGGCTGTGTAAGATGGATTGCAAGTACCTTTCACACTCTCTCCTGGGGCTGGGGGGGAAAGGCAGAAGATTGAAATGAAATATCAGAAGGGTAAGGAAAAAATGAACAGAGATACAGGTTTTGAAATTGATCTGAAGTCGACAAAATAAGAAAAAAGTAAAAACACGTCTGTCTTCCCTGGCTTGTGATACTGTAAATATACAGAGAGAGCCAAAAGTGAAGACGATCGACCAGGGAGAGCATTGTGACTCTGAGGCCTTGTGTAAATCTCTTTGCTTGTCTCAAAACAGCATGGAGCCCATGTCGGGCTGGGCTGCTAAGCTATTGAGTAAGAAAATGTCTCCATGTAGCAACGTAGCAGCTCCAGAGAAGAAGGAGCTCAGGCTTCACCATTGTCTGCACACTGATTTCTCGGATAATCACAGTACAGTCCCTAGCATAGGCCTCCAGCCTCACAGGCAGCCCCCCCTCCAGAGTATAAGCACTGTGTTATCGCTGTGGTTAGAGAGATGTCTCCCACTTATTCAGTCACCTGCTGCAAAACAAACAGCAACCAGCTGTGTTAAGACACCCGTGTGAGTGGGCTCCTCCGTTCTGACCGCCCTGTCCTGTGTCACAGCTGCTCTGGGAAGATCACAGTACCATCTCAGTAGGCTCTGTCTTGTCCGGATGAGGGTTGACTGGTGTGGCACAGACCTTTTTGCCTCCTCTGTCTGCTCCGATTTCACCATGTTAACTTCTGTATTGTAACACAGTGAAGGGGTTGTTCTATTATGCAGCCCGGGAGACAACTTAAATCATTTTCTGGGTATTTGGTTTAGAGGGACAGAAATACGGTCCTCAATGCTCATCAGCTGAACACGTTTCAATTCATAGAAGCTGCAAGGTCTTTCACGAGTTGTACTCTTGATTTGGAAACATATACTATGTTGAAATTCTACGCTTCTGTCTTCTGATCTATGCTGAAGATACCCTGCAGTTCATAAAATCTTGAATGACCTCAACTGCTATGTGATGGGGGTCCGATTTGCATCACCAAGCTTATTGTGCTTTTAGAGTTTTGTGTTATCTTGTTTAATTTCGCTGGCGTCTAATGGTGGAGAATGTTTGGACAACTTAGAATCTTTGCAAGACCAAACCATTCCTCGCCGCTGATATCGGTTTCCATGGTTACCATTATTCCCAGTGTGGAGCTGTACAGAGCTCCTGTTTTTGTGTGCCAGTTCAATATTGTCCAGAGAAGCTGGGCTTTGCAAACATTGCATAAGCTGTAGTGTCTGTTTCGTTTGGCCTAAAATAAAGTGCAATTTCACACTACGGGGCATAACTGATGTGTTGCAAATGAACTTTGTTTAGTAGGTCACTGCCTCAGATTGCTACACACGCAGAAAGGCGTTTATCAATAAAATGCACACTAAAACGTCTTTTATGTCTTTTTTGGAGAAACCATCAGTTTTAACCGATAAGGCACTGTGTTACTCAAAAACAGAAGGAGGCAAAATGAGACAAGAACGTTTAATTCAGGCTCCAAGCATTTGTTGGATAAAGTTGCAGGCAGTTATGCAGACAGACCCGGCATTTTCCACAGAGAAACGCAAGCAAAGACCTGAACTGACCAATCAAGACCTGTTAAACCAGTGAAACCCAGGCCTCTCCGGGGAGTAAGAGTTGTGCACAGTTCTGCTTGTGGAGACATTCAGGTTTTCTCAGCGTGTGGGGCAGTAGTTGTGTTTCTGGCAAAAATGAAGGGGTTGGAAAAGCTCTACTGCAGCAGCATGTGTGTGTGAAAGTCAGGTGGGTGTGTGGGCATCGAAAAGCACGTTCTGTTCCCGTAAGGGGTGAGCACCTAGCATCTGAACAGACTGCGCAGATTGTCTGTTTTCAGCACGGCTTGGATGAGGTATCATGGGAGGTGGGAGGGTGCAGGTTAGGGTTAGTATCATGTCAACCTCTTAGGGTTAGGAGGTGGGAGAGTGCAGGTTCTGTCCTCGAAGATGGAGGAGCTGAGTGTCACTCTGACTTGAGTGAATAATGGGATGGACAACGGAGTTGCAGAGAGGAAAACCCCTGCGCTGAACGGACGCTAGTTTCAGACCACATTGAGCAGTCATTGCGCTTGACGCAGCCATGAGGCTAGGCCTCTAAAGCAGATAGGCAGGCAGGCTTCTCACATTTAGTTTCTCCTCACTCTGTGTTGTCCAAGGTGAACTGGGTTATTTAAACAGGCCACATCCTAAATCTATAGAGATTTACCTGGACTATTCCAAATGCTTCTGATTCTCATTACAGTTCATTTGCTTCCTTTCTGTCAGCTGAAGTTGTTCTGCCCTGTTAAAATTCTTGTTATTGGCCCCTGGCTATATCTGAGCTTGTAAACATCTGTAGGTCTGGAAACGTCAGTCTAGAGCCTGCCATCTTCGAGAATTACAATTACAGCAGCACTAGATGTGCTGCTCTGCTTCCGTTTTCTCAATTGTAAATCATTTGTGGAAAATAATACAAGCAGTTACCTTTCTAACTTGACTGGTTATGCAAAAAAACTTTACAGCCTTCAAATTACAAGTTGGAAACTATAAACTAATAATAGGCGTTGCCTAGGCATACAGTAACTGCACTGTAAACAGTCCATTATTTGAGTTAAAGGATATCATGTTTATGAGCACAGCAGTGCCACAGTTCTCCTACGGCTGCACTGTCATTAGACAGCTACTGTATATTTGTAGGAGACCCCTGGCCTTGGCTGTTCTCACTTACTTCTGTCTTTTTCACCCTCAGCTCCAGATGTGAACCCCAAAGAAGAGGTGAAGAACCCCGCGAGAAAAGATGCCTCTCCCGCTCCCCCAGGCATGAGTGTCAGCCCTCGACCCAAACAAGGTACAAGTCACACACTGCATCAAGAGAAGACTCCTGTTGCATAGCAGTGTAGTCCATTCCAGGTTTTACAAGCCACAGACTCTTGTAACTTGTGTAGGTACTTCACCTCCCACCTGTACTTTAACAGCTGTGTTTGTAAGGTGACACACAACATCCAGCTTCTAGTATTGGTAATATAAAAGAGATACAAAGTATTGTACATCCTTGTGGGGTGAAAAGGTCTTAGGCTCACATTTAGATATTGGTGGGTTTATCAAGTTTCAGCCTTTAATTAAACCTTCTTCTGCTCCCTTCTTTAGCATACAAAAAACCTTAATTATCTCTCCACGAGGCTCCAGGGAGCATTTATGGAAACTATAATAACACTACAGCTGTAACTGCTTTTCCTGTCTGTAATGATCATCTAGCAGAGATGCTTCAGTCCATAAAATCAGGTTTCTGTGTTGAAGAACATTCCACTGGTTTTCAGGAGGCATTCATTTTTTCTTTAAAAAAAAACAGCATTTTCCATTTGGCTAACAAACAGCTTTCAGTCTCAGGTGATGTATGGATGACCCATGTGCTGAACTATAGATAGGCAAGGTGTCTGCGGGTGTCCAGCCCTGGTCCAGGACAGTGTCTGCGCGTTTTCAAGGTCTCTTTAAAGCTGCACTACTTGAAGAGCTTGAAGAGCTAGGAGAAGCAGTGAAATCGGTCCAGTTAATCCGGTAACCAGCTCGTTTAGCTTGTTAAGAGCTGAGTTGGCATGAAAGCCAGTAGACACAGCGGGTCTGCAGGACCAGCGCTGGACACCTCTGCTGCAGACCAGTCCAGCAGCCTTACTGAAGTTAATAATCCCCTGTTTCAGCACTGCTGTGGGGCAGTGTGCAGGATTGTGTCACCTAATAGTGCTATTCCACCCAGCACAGTGATCTGACTGCAGACCGAAGAGCCTTTTCTTCTAAGCAGTTTATCCTTTAATGCCTGTGAGAACACGGTTTTGTTCATAACAAAGTGCAGAAGGCTAGCTTGCAGCATGGAATTAATCTGCCTTTCCAGGGTTTTACAAATTCCCAGATAATCTTGTCTTTAATAGGCAGCAGCAAAGCAAGTAAGGTTTTCAGAAATAATAATCAGTTTAGTGGGCCCATGCTCAGGTCCAACTGAGATGGAAGCTTGAATCCCCAGACAATTTGGATGATTTTATTACAATAATGGCATAACCACATTTTTTTCAAATTAATTATGAAAGGCTTATCATAAATATCTGTAAACAATGTAACAAGCATGTCTCTATTCTCTTTACCTTAAAAAGATCCTTTACCACACCTCAATGATTCATTAAGACAAACCCACTGATACCTTCAAGTGCTTTTAGAGCAGCACATCAATCTAGGAACTACATTACATTGTCGTGATGGACGTCAATGTTCTAAATATGTTTTCCTTTCGATTTAATGAGTATCATCCACATTTTTTGTGCACTTTCTAGAAAACAGTACTCTGTTTTTGCAGTGTATTCAGAACTCAGCAGCTTAGATCATAACAAAACATCTGAGTAAATATCTCACTGTTTTAGATTCCTTGCACTAGTTCCCTGTGGATTTTTGAATAATTCTCAAAATACGGCTGCTCATCTGTTAGGTCTTTAAAAGCCTGGCTTCTGTGCATCAGTCAACTCTTTCCTTTTGACAAACATGAATGTCCTCTGTGCTCATTGGACTGGATTATAAATTCCCCAACTAGGCCCTGATCCCTGGGAGCTTTCGTCATTTAAAATTGTCAGTTTCTTTGTCGTGTTTATGCTTTATTGTGTTGCAAAGCTCGTTACGATGTGGTGCCATGAAAGCTTGTGTTGTTCTTATTGTTGTCTATGGATCTTTTCAGGTTTTGGACTTTCTGGTGAACTTGAACTTTATTGCCATGTGTAACCGGTACATGTACTGGTACAAAGGAATTCTGACTTATGGTTAGCAAGAGTAAAGAAAGGCCTGTTTTGCATTGCATATGCATTTTGTACATAAGCGCCAAAAAGGACCATCAGGCCCACAGAGTGCAAGCTGACAGGAGCCCCCCCGTCCCGGTTCTCCCAGCCAGCGAGATCTTGTCTTCTTGCCCGTGAACGAAGTCCGCATGGCGAGCTGTTGCCAAGCACGTGTTAGGGAGGAGACCCGATATAGCCAGCCCATGTGAAGAGCCACTTGCTAATGATGGCTGGCTGTCTGTGGGCCCAGAAGGCCCAGTTTGTGTCTGCCTTCAGAACCTAGCCCAGTGGTTCTCAATCCTGGTCCTGCTGGACACCCATATATGCTAATTTTAGTTCCAACAGGGCCCTTAATCACCGGTGTTTACTGCTCTTTGGAAATGATCGATCTGCCTGTTGAGGTTTTTTTTTTTTGCGGTAATGTCATCCATTTCCTAGTGCCAGTATTTGCTTCTACCATAAGTTACAATTTGATACATGTTTGTTTAGACTGGAGAAGCCAAACCAGCTCCGATACTGCACCGGACTCGAGTAATGGGTTTTATACATTTAAACCATTGCAAAGCGAACATAAAAAAAAAAACCCACAAAAACGCTTAAAAATAAAGCAATTCAAGCTCTCAGGTGAAACGCCGGGCAGAGTTAAACGGTCATGCAGTTTGTGACACAGTGTTTACCAGCGGCAGAGCGAAAGCGCGGGAGCGTTTGACAGACTTGCAAAACAAAACGGCCTTTTACTGTTTATCCTTTTTAATTGTAAATACCCCCGCGGGATTATCATGCAAGGAAGGAACCTATTTCAAGTTCCCTAATGAACTGCGGCATGAGCAAGGCTGGTGGGGGTGATTGTATGTTAGAATAATAGAGGTTTTAATTAATTTTTACACTCCTCTGCCGTCATCAGACAGATGGCCAGCCCTCTCCTTCAGGGAATCGGTCAAGCCTGCTTGCTGCCCGTCACTGAACTGGCCTTCATGCGAGAGGGAATAACACGTGTTTAACAAAGCCCCAGCCAAGTTCTGTTCTTTTAACGTAGAAGTCATTTTAGTGCCTGGAGTATTTCCTGCGGTAGCTGCGCTGCACCGGAGACTGATGAAGCCAAATTCGCCAGTCGCCTTCATAGGTGAACGAAACGGTGATGGCGAAGATGCGGGCACCTTGTTTGAACATTTCGATTGTTCCTATTTTTCCGAGAAAACAATTCCTGAAAGCGTGTCCTGTCGTGTTCGCGCCCCCATACAAAGTTAGGCTTGCATTGTTCCTTTTTTTATAAAAAAAAAAAGAAAATCCAAATAAGATGGTTAGCTACAATCGTTTATGAAACTCGGCGAGATGAGAAGGGGTTCTCATTTATGAGATGACGACCCTCCCACTGCTTCACAGAAGAGCAAACAGAAAGGAAAAGACAGAAAGGGGCAATTAAAATGACTGAACGCGACGCAGCAGAGTGAACAAGTGCAGGAAAGAGTTGAACATGCGTCTGGAAACGCTATTGGAGGTGAAGGTGGACATCTCTGCAGGCTGCCCCGGTCGTTGGCAGTGGCAAACCAGTTTGCTAAATTGAATTGCGAGATGGTCCTGGGAGCTGCAGTAGTTATTAAGATAGCAAATGATAGTTATTAAGATAATGGGTGTTTTTTTTTCCAGGCCTTAACAGCTCAATATCACTGACCTTCCATGCGATTTATCTACTTATTTATACAAAAGTAATGACTGCAACGAAAACCATTTT